GAATAGAATAGAATAGAATAGAATAGAATAGAATAGAATAGAATAGATTTATTGGCCAAGTGTGATTTGACACACAAGGACTTTGTCTTGGTGTAAATACTCTCAGTATACATAAAGAAAAGATACATTCGTTAAGAATGAAGAATCATAATGTGCAACACTTAAATATAGTCATAGGGTACAATCAACAATCAAATCATACTAGGAAACAGTCAATATAAACGTCTAAACCCAAGTTTTTGCACCCCCTGGAATATCGTCTCGCACCCCTGGTTGGGAACCTCTGCCTAATGGATGCTTTCGGTAGCTTGGATCTGATTTTGCTCATCCTGAAGGGCCAGAAAGTCAAATAAAATCTATCTAACATGGCCGCCTTCCTTTATTCTGCAGAACCAGGAGACTGTTGAGGTCCCAAACTCAAGACCCCCAAATCTTCTGCATCAGTAGTGGTATTAAATTTTTTTTTACTACTGGTTCTGTGGGCCTTGTGGGCATGGCAGGGGAAGGATACACTGCAAAATCCCCATTTCCCTCCCCACCCCACTAACCTGTTTTCCAGCTCTGTTCTCCTGTGCAGGGCAACCAAAGTAGACCCAGACAATCAACTGGGACTCAATGGGAGGCTGAGAAGAGACGGGGTTGGCGGGGCCAGTCAGAGGTGGAATTGGCTGGTTCTCTGAACTACTCAAGATTTCTGCTACCAGTTCTCCAGAACCAGTCAGAACCAGCTGAATACCACCTCTGTTCTGCTTGACAAACCTTGGCATTAAAGGTGTTTCTTTAGGAGGCCCATCCATTGAGGCTACAATGTTTTCTGGCATGTCCACCTCATTTTAATTGGAGGGATGTGTATCTGATGGGCCTCAGCACCACTTTCCTGTAGTGCATGAGTGTGGGGAAAACCTCAGAGTTTCCCCACTGCATGAGCAAATCCAGACTGCAGACAATGGAATCATAAAACATCAACACCTGGTAGCCAAACTGAAAGTGGCCAAGGACACCACAGAAGCAGCTGAGCTGCGCTCTTTCAAGATTGCACAATAGGCTTAACTGGCAGAAACATTCCTGTAGATTTGGGTTGACGAAAACATACGTTGTGCCTGAAAATACTCAGGCTTGCAATATAGTCTCAAGTCATCACTTGAGACTTTCAAGAAGAGATTGGACTGCCATTTGTCAAAAATGGTGTAAGGTCTCCTGCTTGGGTGGGTGGGGGGGTTGGACTAGATGACCTACAGGGTCCCTTCCAACTCTGATTATCTGTTATCTGTTATAGAGCATTCAGCAACAAATTACACAACCCAGAAACATAGGTTAAAAAAAAGTCAAAGTAAAACTGGCTTTATCTCACTTGCCTTGTGGAAGGCAGTTGAGTTTTCTGCAATATCTGCAAATGTTGTGCTCTGTACAAACATCTACTGGGAAAGAAGCATCTTACAACCCGTCCTGCTGTTGCTTAAAAGCTGCTTCTACAGCTAACAACTCCTTCATTAACAATGTCACAATTGCTTTCTGGAAGTGTTAATGCTTTTGAGTATAAGCACAGGGGAGTAGCTGCCCCCTTCTTCTTCTTGTAAGAAAACCACTCCTAACACAATGTCTGACTTGCTAGTCTGAATGCTAAATTGCTTTTGATGAATTAGGGTGGGGGAGAAATGATTTGTAACTTTCCAAATGCAGATTGTTCCTTCTTCATCCAAGCAAACTTTGTTTTTGTTTTTTTCAACAATTAGGTGAGAGGCTTAACTTTGAGTGAAAAGTTAGCAATGGACTTCTTGTTAAAATTAGCAAAGCCCAGGAAACTCTGACAATCTCTTATGTTGTAATGAGGGGTGTGTGCCAGGATAGTACCATTCACACCTTGGTAGGATCCATCAGTTGGAATCCTGCTGCCCAAATGGTCCAATTGTCAAAGGTGTCGAAGTCACACTTCTCCAGCTTGGCAAACAGCTTATTGTCCTGTCTCCTTTGCAACACCTCTTGCAGCTCCTGAGCCTTTGCATCCTCAGAGTAAATCAAGATGTCATCTAGGTAAATCATCAGAAATTTGTCAATGATATCTGAAAAACAGTCATTCATAAATCAAGAAAATACTGCTGCCCAGTTACAATTAGCCAATCCAAAAAGCATAATTAGATATTTAAACTCACCATCCCTGACATCAAACACTCATGTCTTTCTTTGACTCTAATGAGGTCATAAGTGTTCCTGAGATCCAGCTTGCTAAATATGTGAGCCACCTGTAATCGGTCCATCAGATCTGATCTTAGAGGCGGTGGGTAATGATCCCTTATTGCAACCTTGTTTTGAGGTCCTTGTAAGCGTGGACTCTGCAGGTCATAACCTGTCCCTTCTGTCCCAGGCTGACTGAAGCAATTAAGGGCATACCCATATGAACTTCAGCCCTCCTTACAAGCTGAATTCTCCCCTCCCCATTGTGGGCACTTGAGAAAGGGTCCGTTGTCATTTCCCTGAGCCTGTGGATAGTAAGTGGGGGGGGGATGCTCCTTTTAAGGTCATCCCGCTCCCCTTCCATGGGAAGCTGGCTGGGCAAACTCAGATGATATGCCCCGGCTTGCTGCAGATAAACCAAAGTGCTGAATCCCATCACCTTTACCTTTCCTCAGCAGCTGCTGCTCCTCTGGATGCTCCCAGTTGCATCAGCTCCCCTTCCCCAGATCGGTTGTGGTAGCTGTGAAGGGAGCAAGTCCCGTGATCTCCGACTGGGCTTGCACAATTGAACCTGTTCCTGCTGCAAATGTTTCAAATGGGCATCTAAGAGCAAACAAAGTTGCAATACTGTTACTCCTCTAGGTTTTGTGGAATTCCTTCAAAGAACTCCAATTCTATTAAGGAAGGGACCGCGTGCAAAAGCTTCACTTTGGTGCCAGGTTTTTAATATTTACTATTTTAATAGATGTATGTCATGGGTTGTTTTATGATTAATGTCGATTTCAACACAAAATAGAATAAGAGAGTTGGAAGGTGATAAAAAGGTTGTAGGTCATCTAATCCAGGGGTCTCCAACCTTGGCAACTTTATGACTTCTAGACTTCAACTCCCAGAATTGAAGATTCTGGGAGTTGAAGTCCACAAGTCTTAAAGTTGCCAAGTTTAGAGGCCCCTGATCTAGTCCAAAGCAGGAGCAGCATACTGTCTGGGTCAATTTGTTTACTTATTAAGTTCCTAATTTCTACCTCTATTATCCAACCATTGATAAAACAAGTCCCAAGTTCGAAAATATTCTGTGTCTTTTTTTTCCTTTTATCTTCACTGTTAATCTGTCCATTTTTGCACAGTCCAGTTTTTTTTAAATTATATCTTCTTCCGTGGAAAAATTTCTCCTTATTTCTAGGTTGAAACATTGTTTGGGAGACGCCCAAAGTTCAATATAATATGGGCAGCTATATAAATGTTTTAAATAAATGAATAAATAAACAGAGTCCAATTCACCTCCAAGGAGTTGTATGCCATTGGCATGTTGATGTGCCAAAAAAATTTACTTCCTGGTTTTTAAACCAAAACTCCCTTCTGAAATAAAATAATATCCCTTCACCCACCCACCCCAACAGAAATTCACCCCTTTATAAGTAATAGAATATCCATTTCTTTCCTGAATTGCACATGAGGCATTTCTTGCTGAAAAGTAAAGAGGATGAATTTCTACGTCCTTACAAGGCTGCGATAGATTCCATTCAAGAGGTGTTTTCGTTGTAGTGTCAATATTAAGCTACGAATGAGTTTTGTTGTGTTTATTTGTTTGTTTGTAAGTATTTATCTGTATAAAGCTTGGAAGGAGTAGGGGATGGAGCTTCACCTGAATTTCACCTGTGTGGACACTAAGCACCTGTTGTTTGTTATTCATGTTGTTTAATTGTTGATTGGGTGCCACCTGGAGTTCAATATAAAATTGACAGCTATATAAATGCTTTAAATGAATAGAATCTAATTCAACTCCAGGGTGTCAAGTTTTGTGCCTTTGGACTGTTGATAGATCTTTTGTACAAATAATCTACTTCCTGATGTTTAGACCAAAACTCTCTTCTGAAATATAATACTTCCTCTCTCCCTTCACCCAACCCCAAAAGAAACCTATCCCCTTGCCTTGTGTTGCCTTTGGGTCCACCCTCTTCTGAGTCTGATTTGCTATCCAAGGAGCCAAGTGTGATCAGGGAAAACTAAGAATGCAACCTAAAGAATTAATCAGCTTTGTTAAACATATAAATTACATAACTTTGCCTGGGAATGCATGGATGAGATAGTTTGGCTAAGCAGGAGAGTTATAACATCATAAAAACCCAGGGCCAAAGGCATTGTTTGCATTGTGTAACTCTCACCGTGCTCTAGGAAGAAATGCATGCGGGAGGGAGCAAAACCACAGGCTCACAAATATTGCTCAAATATTACTAAACAAAGCACGTAGGACATGCCAACTGGCTGAAATGACCGTTACATTATGAAAGCTTCTGGATGGCCTATATGTACACGTGTGTCTGTGTTTCTCACTGCTGTGGGGGTTTAAGCTGTTAACGGGAAAAGGGGGCAACACATGACACCCTGATGTTCATGTTTGCGGGTTTTGTGGTTTGGGGGTATAAAAGACCTGGCTGAAGACAACCTCCTTGTGTCCTCCTTCTGCACAGAGCAACATCATCCTGTTTCAGTCTCCACCTCGGGGTGTTTAGTTGGCCTTCAACACCCCAGGCAAGGACCCAGAGTTGGACTGAAGCTTCCTAAGGGACAGGTGAGTGCTGCTCTCCCACCTGGGTGGACATGGCAGGTGAGGCCTCTGCAGAAGATCATTCCCGTGTCTGTCTCTCTCCATCTAAAGGGACCTCTTCCAGGAGGCTGCAGGCGACGTCCAGGTTGTAGTAGGGAATCTGCTGGTGGGGGTCTCAGGCAGGGAGGAACTGATCTATTGGGGATCTCTATGGAAGAGAAAGACACTTATAGGAGACCCTTTCTAAGGAAGCCCCCCGACCATTATACAGCACTGCAGAATCTACTGTGACCCATCAATGCTGCTGCATGACCAAGGAAGGGGAAATGGGGTCCAGTTGAGCCAATGCAAAATTGTGAGACAAACCGTGGGATTCCCAGCTTGGTCCTGGATTAGATATTGGGTCCCCCTTCCTGATGGAGCCTTACCATGAGCCTAGTCCTCCTCCCACTTCTTCCTTCTTTGTTCTTCTCTGCAGGGAAGGAAGGAAGGAAGACCACGGGGCAATTCATCATTGTGAATCTCAGCTTGCTGGTCATGGCCCTCTCCTTAAGAGGTGAGTTCCACAGGGTCTCTGGGATCCCGAGAGGACAAGTGTCTTGCCTCTGAGCCCCCTCCTGACCTGACCCCTTGGAATCATCTCCCTGAAGTTGCTTTTATTTCTGTTTGGCTTATTATGCAATTTAGATCTCACCCTCTCTCTCTTCGCTGCAAGACTCAGTGCTGATTTCCAAGAATACAAACAAAAATTAATACCACACTTGAAAGCTTGGTAAAAGATCCACGCTTTTATCACGAAACTTTGAGTGCCTCCCACCCCTGAAGCCCATTGAGTAGTTATGGGTCATCCAAGAGGCAATTGCAGATCCTCCAGAACTGACTCATGGAATCCCTATACTTTGTCCCACTCAAAAACCTGTTTCTTGAAAGAATCCATTTTCTGACTTAACATAGTTCACCAAATGATAAATTGACGAAAAGGGACAGGTTCACACAAGACATGAAGCTTCAAGGAACTAAACCAAAGCTAAACCTAGTCAGTTGTTGAACATTCTGCAAATACAGCTGTTCTGATTAAAATTTTCAGTTTCAATTTATTGTCATCAAAGATGTTTGCAACCCAACAGGTTAAGAATGTTCTGCAGACCCAGCTGTCTCCTCCTCCTCTTCTCCTGGCCATCCTCTCATTGGACTTTCTCTCTTCCCACTTAGGAGTGAAAGGCTGTTGTTGTCCCAATGATTGGCTGTCCATGAATGGGTTTTGCTACAAGGTCAATGATGACCTCAAGACCTGGAATGACGCAGAGGTTAGAAGTGTTGTGTGTGTCTGTGAATTTCCTCACCCAGGCATGGGAGAAGTCTAGCCAGAGCCTTGCATAGCTCCCAAGTACACTCTGGCTGGGACGAAGTGGAAGGCCACTAGGGTAGGTGCATGAAAAGGTAGCAAAGAACATGATTCTAGAACAATCTGAAATGCAAGTATTCTAGATGATATACCGGTTTAGGATTTAGAAGCATTGTGTTTTCTGTGAACCCCCTAGCCCAGATACAGGAGAAGTCTAGGGGGAGCCTTGCATTGTCCCCAAGCCCAGTCTGGCTGGAATAAAGTAGAGGTGTCAGGATTATGGCAGTGACCCCCATTTAAATCATGAGCCTTGAGCCAAACTTCCAGAACTTCAAAAGGATTTATTGGGAGTTAACATGTCCGGCACTGCCTGGGTGTAGCCGACTCTGAGGCACATCATTCATTGTCACCCTTGACTCTGGTTTCCCCCCCCTCCCGGGTGTATCGTAATTCATATCCTCCAATGGTACACATCCATAGCCCAGAGTCATCAATCATGCTCTCCAGTTAGAATTTTGCGCATCAGAAACTTCAGTCACCTAGTTACTATTTCTGAAAACGATTTATGGAATCACTTTCAGTTTGCAAGCTGCCGCACTTGTCCCACCTCCCTTTCTGTTGGCAACTCTAAAAAGACCATAGAAATATTTTACGGGTTGACAGAGGATGCATTAAAAGGTAACAAAGGCCACATTTTTAGGATAGTCTGAAATAAAAGTATTCTCTGGACTATATACTGGTTTAGATTTCCACGACCCATACCTGTTAAGCAGTGTTGAGCTTCAAGGTTGAGTGACCATCTTCTAAACCAGGGGTCTCCAACTTTGGAAATTTTAAGCCTGGAGGACTTCAACTCCCAGAATTGAATTGAAGTCCTCCAGGCTTAAAGTTGCCAAGGTTGGAGACCCCTGTTCTATGCAACAGATTTCCTGATGGTTCACTGGCAATTCTAGCAACATCTCCAGAAACCTCCTTGCTTCTTAAATGATGGAGATTGCAGATTATAAACAAATCATGAATTTAAGTAAAGAATGGTTCAAGAGCTGCAGACTCCAACAAAGACATCTGTAGTGTTCAATAGAGCGAAGATGGTGGCGAGAACCACCTAGAACCAATCAGATCCTTGCTCTTTTCTCAAAGGGGGACACACACACACACACACACATACACAGAAACATTTCTTCTCTGCTGCACTAATGATTTTTTTTTCCTGTTGCCTCTCCCAGATGTTCTGCAGAAAGTTGAAGCCAGGCTGCCACCTCGCCTCCATCCATAGCGTGGCAGAATCAGCTGACTTGGCCGAATACGTCTCCGACTATCTGAAAGGTAGCGGAAATGTCTGGATTGGACTGAACGATCCACGGAAAGTAGGTCCCTTCCTATTGGCAATATTTTGCAATTCATTTGTTATTGTTCCTAAAGGGGATTGTTGAAGGATCTTCCAATGGGAGGAGCCTCTGTGGCGCAGTGGTTAGAGTGCAGTACTGCAAGCTACTTCTGCTGCAGCCAGCTGCTTACAATTTGGCAGTTCAACTCCCACCGGGCTCCAGGTTGACTCCGCCTTCCATCCTTCTGAGGTGGGTAAAATGAGGACCGCTTAGAGAGGGCTGTAAAATCACTATAAAGTGGTATATAAGTCTAAGTGCTATTGCTATTGCTAAGGATTTCTCTGCTAAAAACTTTTGCCTTGGACAGGAACCGTTGAGAGGCTCCAACACTGTTTCCCCTGCCCCCTCACCAACCCTTCCTGCCCAGTTGAAGAACTGACTGCTGTCTTTAAAGTCCCAAAGGGACGGATTTTATCGCAAATTCATCTCGGGATTAGGGCGTCCTCATGCACTCAGGGCTTCCTTCAGCCTGACTCCCTCTTTTCAGAGCATTGAATGGCCTCTGATATTTGTTGAAACTCTGATGGACCAGAAACTCAGGGACTACAGGCCCTGGTGTAGGAGGGCTGTTCTTTCCTCCCCCCCCCATTTTCATTTTATGCAGAAATTGCTCATTTCTGTTACCGGCAGGTTTCCATCTTGTGCTCTCTTGCATTTTCAATTCCTGAAAAATGCTTGATGATGTATAAAAGAAGAGATGTTTTCCTGGAATTGAGCTCAGTTCCTGGTGACTTTGCAAATAGAAATGTTAATTTATGGCAACAATACAGAAGTAGGTCCCCCACCCCTACAAATTCCCAGGATGCCTTTCAGTCTCCCCTATCTCTCTGGGGTTCTGTTGATGGTCTCCCACCCAAGGACTCATTGACTTTGACCCTGTTGATCTTACTGAGATCAATCAGTGTCAACTGAGTTGGTGATTTTATGGGTACCTCCTAGTAGTTTTCTCTGGATCTCCTGATTGTCACCTATCCAAACATTCACCAAATATAACTCTGGTTTTTAATTAATTAATTAATTTTTTAATTTATATGTGTGTGTGTATATATCTATATCTATCTATTATCTATCTATCTATCTATCTATCTATCTATCTATCTATCTATCTA